TTTGAACTTGCTTTACGCTTTATATTCGACAACGCCCGGTCGTATTATCTGCGTAACTGTTCTAGTTCATAAAAAGCAGCGGTTTGAAAAAGTTGGAAACGATAGTAGAGATCAAGGTAAAGGGTTTCAATTTACTTTTAAATTAGCTGAAAATACATACCGTTTTAAGTAGAAAATGCGTAACAGAATCCAGAGGATATTTACTTATTTAAGCGTGTTTGACATTTTTTTAGTGTTTTTACGAGCACTTTATTGTTTATAGATGAATCTGATACCGACTCTTAAAACAGTTACAAAGGAGTGACTCCATCCAAAGACAGTATACCATTCTGTGTCAATTTTGTGTTGGTACACAAAGCAGTGTTTATTTTTTGCATTTCTTGTACAATTAGAATATCTAATCACATGTATAAACAAATTCATCTATATCATCTACTTATTATTAACAGATGCAGAACCATCTCCTCCTGGTGACGACAGCAAGAAACATAAATCCGGTAAGAGAAAGGGAAATACATATGTTAAAACAGAAACAAATTAACCATCTGGAGGACGTAAACACAAATCAGTCGACAATAACACAAGTTTGTTTCGTATACAGACATTATTATTGCTATTTAACATCAGCCATATACATATAGTATTTCCTTTCCTGAAGCATCCCTGCCGATAGGGCGTAAGAATATCGTACCTGATGCCCCCAAATGCATGATCGTAAGAGGCGACTAAATTTGGGATCTCATATCTTATCTCCTTTTTTAATAACTTTCTTCTTACTAATGTCTCCATTGACAATGCCTCACTTTTGGCCATTTGTTGAGCGTTCGCCGATGTGAGGACGGCTTTGGGTTCTGTCTCATGGCTGAGACTTACCAAAGTTTTTAAAAAATGGTAGTTTTTTACTCCTGCTTAACGCTCAGCAAATTAGGAGTGGGACGACTGGTTCGCCCGTTGTCAGTATAATGTGACCTGGTGGGGCATCCTTCTGGGTGTCTGCGGCAGTATGTTTCAGTGAGGTAGCACTTTCAAGTTGGCATCAGTTCCGCTCTATCACAAGGAGACAAACACGAACATATCGCAGTCTCCCAAAATACACATACATACATTACAAGCATGCATATTGCACACAGGGGAGGCCGTCCTTAAATGACCTTAGCTGTTAATAGGACGTTACACAAAATCAAACCAAACCAAACCAAATTTCCTGAAGCGACAATCAAAATGAACTAGAAAGTTAAGGGTGGGGCAAGACTCGTGAGTAAAATTATGATAGCATGGCTGTGTTTGTTTCTTCATGTAAATCTATTGCATACCATGTATCGTTATTGATTTGGAGTCTCAATTCTTACATTTTTTGTAATCTGTGCTAAATCAACAGAGTAAGAGGCTGAACTCTACGTAATGTGGTAGCATGATATGTGTTAAAATAAATGCCAAGCAATTGTATTGAAAAAAGGAATGTGAATCTCTACTGTTTCCATGTTATGACCAAGGGATTAAATTCCAAGCGATCGGGTTATATCGGATCGTCGCTAGCACAGCAAATATACGTTTTAATCGCCTGCTTGACATATGTAATTAAAAGATGTGCTCTGTATGTTAAAGGGAAAAGAAAACTGGAACAACAACGGTCGAAGAGGTTTAGCGACGAGAGAAGTGATCCAGGTACGACAGGTTTATTAAATGTATATGCTCTTACTCTGTTTAGAAAGGTAGCCTAACTTTTTTTATATGTGTTTTTTTATGATTTTATACGAAATGAAATATTTATTCGCATGTTATTGTTCACAGACGGATGTAATACCGACAATGAACGATAATACGTCAGGGAGATGTCAACAAAAACGAAAAACGTTACTTGCTATGGTAGAAGCACTGATAATGTTTGTCGGGATTTTTGTTATTGTCCATGGTATATCAGATTTAAATCGATTTAGAAAAGAAATCTTCAAGTGAAATACTTTCTTTCTCTTTTCTTTGTGAATGAAATGGACATACCATCTACCTCACTTGCGTTGACGTTACAGAAAGAAATTTTGTTTATATAGTGAAATTGATTTTCCCCTCCACCGATAGCACGGGAAATCAATAATTGGTTGTATTTCCAACTTTTTTGTTTACTTTAAGACACTTTTACTTCACCAACGAGTACAGAGGTTCCAGAGGTAAGTTTCATCTTTATTATAATTTTTTAACAGACTACAGATCTGATTTATTTTATTTGTGTTTGTTTACAATCAGGAGTTTTGCTGATATTAGAATTGCACCACTGATGAATTGCACTCCATCAAGGAGATCTGTCACTTAATGGATGATGATGATGATGATGATACTGTCGCATAGCATTTTAAACAGCTTTTGTATTATTTCACGTTGAAGTACCAGTGTACATACGTATACCAACATATCGAGAATCAGAATATATTTTAGGAAGAAAAGTAATCGCTTAACGTCTATGCACTAGATATTAAGAATTTTCCGTTAAATCTTCTAGATTGTTTATGCACGTTACATTGTTAGAAATCAATGTATGATTACAAAAACTAGAAAAATTGACAATAAGAAGTTATTAAGATGTTTGTTTTCTATTTTCCAGCTTTTCGAAGAGATTTCAGTACGACAGGCAACGGTTCATGGAAACGTTCGCTTATTGAGAGCTTTGGCATTGTCGAGCGACAATCTCACAGAGTCGGGACAATACTTTCCTTTACATACCGCCACATCACTTGGATTGAAGAGAACCGCGTCGTTTCTTCTGCAATCAGGATTTGATTTGGATGAGCAAAATGATAACGGTCATACTCCTATTCAACTTGTCAACCCATGGCGAGATAATGTTTTGTGTGAATATATACAGAAAGTTGGAGGAACAGAGGTCTCCCTCTCAACTAGTAATCAACAACCATGCGACGGTATGTTACACAATTGATAGCTGATCAGTATACGTAATGACTCGGTGTCATTTATATGTTGTCAAGGGTAGTAAAAGTGTCCCACCTCATTATTTCTTTCTACTGCCAATATATCATTTAAAGAAGGAAGATACGAACAGCCTAACTTTGATTTTGTTAACCACATTTAAAACTGATAAAGGCTTAATTCGACAGTAAAATACTTTGTATTTGACGCTATGTGACAAAACACAATGATAGCATTATTTTTCTGTGACTACCTCTTTAACTAAATTCACGTCTGTTTGTTTTCAAGAACGTATTCACACGGTCAACATGGAGAGAGTTGATTTATCTACATCAACGGTTTACCTCCCCTCTGCACAGGTTAGACAGACATTTTTATGTTTTATGTTTGAAAAAGGTCAAATATAATTACAGACAACCAAGAATTGCTTGACTTATTTCGTCATCTGTCTTATTTCGATTGAGCCGTAATGATGATTTGGTCTTGTATACCGTTGTGATATGTCTTAAAACGGGGTTGGCAGAAACTGAACAATAGAACAAATTAAGAAATAACATTGGTGCGAAATTGAGATATATCAAAACCGATTTTTTTTTAAATTTGATCCAATACAAGGTGCTGAGACTATCAAACCCAAATCGCAAATAGTAAATTTGATCTTACGTTACCTCCAAAGAAACAGGGCACATTTGTATATGGAATGTCACATGACCTTACATTACCATCATGTTGAAAGATACTGAATATATATAATGCGCGATTAGTCCATTTACTGCAAACGAGTTCTAACAAAAATACATCTAGTTACGATTTGGCCGGCTATTAACCTGTGCCCGTGGGACTTAAGAATATTTTGGAGGGTTTGACAAAATTTGTGTGCGATTTTGTAGCATATAACAAGAATATATAAAACAGGTCAGTCAATTTAAGAAGGAAATAAATGCGTTTACATTTTCATAGTTGATCTCAATCGCAGCATAGCTTTATTTGTATAACAAAGTTTATACTTTGTGAAAAGATTCATGTAGCATAACCAAAACGTGTTTAAATGTGACTTTTCCATGACAAGTACGGTAAGTACTCTGTCACCTTCATCAGACAAATCACCAGTGAAGCGTATTTACGAAAAGGTGTAAAATATGTCGATTTCGATTTGGCTACGCTTGTAAGTGTATGTACAGTTAGTTGTTATATATGTACCGAAATGACTCTATTGAGCTACGCTTTGTTCAATACTTGGTAATGGATGTGTGAAAGGCTATTAGCCCCCTCATCTCGATGCCCTTCTCTGTGCCGAATGCGGCACGGCTCTCTGTTTAATACGTTTGAGTTTTCCCAGTCAATAACGTGATTTGTTTGTCTGACATTGTCTGTGATTGTCAATTTATTTATCTGGGACTCCGACAGCTTCCTTTCTGTTTGATTGTTTGTTTGATTTTGTTTAACGTCCTATTAACAGTTAAGGTCATTTAAGGACGGCCTCCCCTGTGTGCAAGATGCATGCGTGTAGTGTATGTGTGTGTATTTTGGGAGGCTGCGATATATTCGTGTTTGTCTCCTTGTGATAGAGCGGAACTGATGCCAACTTGAAAGTGCTACCTCACTGAAACATACTGCCGCAGACACCCAGAAGGATGCCCCACCAGGTCACATTATACTGACAACGGGCGAACCAGTCGTCCCACTCCTTATTTCGTGGATTTCAAATCTCAGTTGGTCAGTCTCAGCATAGCCTAGTTTCTTAAATATCTGTTCTGTGGCTATAACAAAATCAACAATTTGGGTTTTACCTGAAATGATGGCATAGTGTATACTGCACCCTTAGCTAGTAACGTTTTGTGGCTATTTGTGAGCTCCTTTTTAGAGATGTTGCCTACCAATGTTTTTAGCACAGAGTCATTCAGAGCTACATCTGTGTTTGTGTTGTGTTCAATTATCTTTAGCTAGTCAAGTGGCGTTGTTTGGTTGTGTCAAACGCTTTTGCGATGGGAACTGTTACCTTATGATTGTCTGCGTCTATTTTGTTGTTTTGACCCGTATTCCCCCTCACTAGATCTGTCTGTGCATTCCTGATGATAATTCTAGCATTAGATGTGCTAACTGGGCACCTAATATTCAGACTTGAAGGTGGTATATGCAAGTTTCTACATCTCTGCGTGAACACAAGGTGATTTCCATGTCTCGTTAATTTCTTTCCTAGGTTCTTTAATTTCCGCTCATCTAAGACGACATCTTTTTTGACAGAATCTTGTCTGTACTTTGTTCGGTTATTACTTAACATTTTCTTCTGATTGGTAAGCATGTGTTGTAAAACGATTCATTTAGAACAACAATTAAGGGTTTATATGTGACTAGTACGGTATGTTCTTTGTCACCATCACCAGACACATGGCCAGTGCACATCTATGAACAAGTATGAAACAACCCGTAACTGAATCGATCCCTTCATATAACAATTGTAAATACGTTAACAAAGTAGCCGAATCGACCTCGATTTGTGTGGACAACTCCTACACATTTTACAACAACATGAAGTAAATGTTTAGATATAGCATGTTAGTGCTCACAAATTAACTCATTGTAAAGTTCTATTTTTTGTAATTTTAGTTCCGATCGACATTTATGAGAAGAGATACATCGCGAAAAATGTTTTTTGTCTCCCGATTCCTCTCAAAGTACGCCACAGTCTGTAAATATCAGATGCATGGGTTGCTATGGCTCCTGGGAAGATACATCACTGAGGACTACTACCAATGCCTGAACGACATAGTCCTTCCAGAGAAGAACCTTCTGCGATATAAAGAGTGCAGCACGGGTGTTATCGATTTCTGTACATGGATCAAATGTAGAGGAGGGGAACACACTTGCAGAAACATTGAAAGTGGTATTGGTATTTTCGTTTATCATGATAACTACGATGCAACCTATTGGTATCCTACCTTATTATCTGTAACATTGCAAATTATAAGAAACTCGCCCGATTTTGTTTTGTAGAATGATAAATATATTTAAGTCCAGAGGGGGACCAGGTTTAAGAAAATCACATGAATAATGACTAGTCATATAACTTTTGTTTAACAACATTTTTTGTTTTATAGATTATCAACCTATTTTCATTATCGATTAAAATCTGTTAGTTTTGATATGGAATAGCGTGACATCAATATCGTAATGAAAACATTGATATGCCTTATAAAACCTAGTAAATTCGTTTCACGTCTACGGTTTACTGTTGTATAATGATATCATAGATTTTCATACCTTTCTTAATTTTAGACCAACTGCCCGACTGGATTCGTACCCTACTGCAGAAAAAATCTGAACTTAGTCATGATGTAACCATTCTCTGTGATGGCTGGACTCCGATGCATTACGCTGTCCTAACAAGCAATAATGATCTAGTCAAGCAATTGCTAGATACTGGGAAAGGGTACTTGACTGAAAAAACGCACACATTGCTTCCAAAGTTTATTCTTGATCAACTGAAAGGAATTAGCCGTTTTGAGTATGAGTTTGTTTACAATAACATCGAAGGCTTCACGCCTCTTATGCTTGCGACATTCACTGAAAATCAAACGGCGATTAAACTAATTGGTCAGCGTATTGAAACGTTTAACGGATTCAACGGGAAAGATATCGCTGATTGCCTCACGCTAGCGTATTGTGAAGAAACAGAAAAAAATCTTCTTGATACCCTTTGCAGGATTGGTAAACAACATTTATTACAGAAACATCATGTCGACGTCAACTTGCAACCCTTTTACAGAAAGAAAAACCCGATGAGAAGGGTACTACTTGGTTCCTCAACGGAAGTGTTTGACACGATAAAAGAGGATTTTTTTGCCGTCCAGATCATAGTTGAGAACAAAGCTATCATCAGCGAATATCTAAACCTGGCTACAACAGACGAGGTTCCAGAAGAAGAAGACAGACTCTTGGCAGAAACGATACGGCATCATTCAGATAGGTTATGGAAAAGACACAGTTCACTTAACGCTATCATGCCAGGTCATGTATCGTCACTACCAGACATATGTCCAGTGTATAGTAGGGCGGTCATGGTTGTCTTTCATAGCATTGACAAGGAATTGATTCCTTCATCTGAACTACCATTCCAAGAATATTTGTTAACCAACGGATCGCGTGTATTAGTTCACGTAATGGAAGGGTCATTCAGATTGACTCCGACAACCGAAAAGAAAACCGTACAAGTAGGTCGTAGCATTGATTACGATGAATTCCGGGCAACTCTTGGAACACTTGTTGAGAGTTCACAAAAGCAAATAGGCATTTTGACATGTGCTCATACGTTTCTGAGTGAATGTTTCGACAGCAGTGATGCTTTCTATGATCGAACATTTGACCCAACGACTTCATCAGAAATCAAGAACGTACATAAAGGTGCGGAAACGCGTCTGAAAGTGTTCAACGTAAAAAGAAATGTAGATGCCAATCTTATGGAAACTGATTCGTCACATACGTCACATACGTAAGTATAAATAGCTACATTATTTTCCAGGAAAACCCTCGTGAAATATTTCAGTTGCAAATAATTCTTTTGCAAAGACTGTCCTACAGTTTGCATAGAGTCATCATACAATACGGTAATATTCTAGTCAGCTATTGTATCGACTTTGGTCAAGTATTTCGTTATTCAATTGATCTCGTCGTCAAAAGTACGATCAAATCTGTACAACCATAATATAAAGTAGATTTCTGTCATAGTTCCACACATCGGCAAATCCTTTTCAACTTTGTCAAATTCGATCGCTAAGTAATTTAACAATTAGTAATTGGTTTATTTATTCAGCATCATTAGCTTGCTTACTGTTTGAGTTAGCATGCTAAAAATGTTTAATGAATACACCACTTCATTAAAAGTCGAGAGACAAGTGCATGCTATCAAAATCATACCGTTTTATCTTATTAAACGGCATGTTTAATCCACGCGGATAATCATCATTTTAGGAGTTTGTTACGTATTGCTTTTCAGCTGAAATAAACATACGGTAAATTCATATAAGAGTCTCGCATGGACAGATATGCAGATGACACCACGGGAGCAGATAAAATGGACACTGACCCGTTTTTCGGCTAGATCGGCTTTAGCGGTCGAATCAATATCGATAGGCTTTAGCGGTCGAATCGTATCAATCGGCTTTTCCGGTTGGTTTTTGACAGTCGTTTTATATCTGCCGACTACGCATGCTTGCCCTGACCTATCGACCGCTGTCCCACCGTCACGAATGACTGCCGATCATATTATCTGCTGTCGGCAGTCATCCGTTTGGTTCGATCAGCCGCTACCTACAACTGGCAATGGTATCGCTGATCAGAGGCTTATACAGCATTATTGTTAGAGATGCAAATATATATCGTTTTAATCAGAGACGCAGGTAATATTATATAAATATGACATTCATTAGCAGGTGACAGTGAATATTGTCAACCCGAGAAAACCAGTGTCACCCGAGGCGAAGCCGAGGGTGACAATGGACTTTTAAGGGTTGACAATATTCACTGTCACCTGCTAATGAATGTCATATCTATTTTGTTACACCAAAAGTCTTTGTAGCTCAGAAACGGCAGCAAACCTCGATAATGACATCTTGTGTATTGATATTCTGCTTTTTACAATCGCTATCGCAGCGGCGCTTGATAAAATTGGCTGTTGCCGTCAAACGTTCTTGTGACCATCATGGTGGGGAAACGAAGAGGTGCACGCACATTTTTCGCGCATGTGATATTTTTCACTGTCTCATGGCAATATCACCCGTGCCCCTTAAAACCAATGTATTTTCGGAGGGGGACAGAGATTTTTGTTTAATTTTCTCCCAACCAATCAAATAGCTAGAAATTCACTTGAGGTGTAACAAATATATATCTTTCACAACTTAGCAGGGTAAGATTTACCTTTTTGTTTTACTTTAAAAAAGTGTTCTATCGTTTCATGTATTTGCACTCTGATATATCAAAATGCATTATATAAGATCAAATTACATCAATATATATCACGCGATCGAGAATATATGCATAAACATTTAAGAAATTCTTGCATAATATATTAGTGAGCTCTTCAATTTTACAGATAACTGGTTTATGGAATCTTTTTACCACATATTGATTTATTAATCCCCTTGATTTAAAATCTACCCCGTGGTACACACCNCCCCCCTCCTTCTACCCCGCCACCCTTCAAAAGGTGTGGAATAATTGACACTAATTGATATCACACCCAAGGCCAGCAGATAGAGACGTGTGTACATGATAGAGACGTTTGTTTCAGTGGTCCGTAGCCACAGGACACCGGTGCTACAGTTTTATTTAATACTTTTGCAAAATGGCGATGACGTACGTACATGTGCCAATATTTAATTATATGTTCGTACCATTTAATTATAATGTTAGTACCATGTCCGTAACGAACGTATTGGTCATACATATTTATCCTTCCTGGGCTATATAAAGGGATATCAAGTGAATATTTCGTCTTAAATCAGATAAAATTTAAATATGAAGGTAAATTTCAATATGGTGTTAATATGGCCGATATCATATGATGTGATGCATGCGAGTCTTCCGATAACCAGAGGTATTAGTTCAGGGACCCCTCTTACTCCCCAGCAGGACCTCGCCACTAGAACCCCGGTAAAGCCGCGTGCCATCGACATGCATTAATTCGTCTGCTGGATAACCGAACTACTCGATAGTGAAGCGGACGTAAATCCAATCAATCAACCAATCAATCAACCATGCCTTGATGCACAGACTGCGGTCCACGCTCATTGTGCTTATGCACTTCGTTTATGCGGAACAACCGTACGTCCGTTTTTAACTGTTTTAAATTTTTTGTCTGTCTTAGCAGTTGAAAAACTCAACAGGAATGTATAGCTTAGACATTATGTTTTGTCACTGAAATGGACCAAATCGCCTGTTCATTTCAATATTCTGTCGTTTATAAAGCCATATTCAATCAGGTTTACATAGTGTAGACCGTGGTTTGCTCCGTAACGCCGGATCTTGTACTACGGAATCCGTACAGGCCGAATCATTTCGAAGAGTTACTCTGTACAGACGGAGTTATAATATTTTATGAAAGAAAATGAGTCAGACCTACATATTTGCAAATACTGCACAAAAAACAACATTTTTTTTAATTCGAAGCATAATACACACTAAAAGATAAAACAGTGTTCTTATGACAAATGTATCATAAAAGCTATCGTTTGATTAATGTACATGGCACTGATTGGTAATTTCCAATATTTTGGTATGGTGATATTTGAGCATTTTTCTAATCGTAAATAATTATATGCTTGAGAGACTTAGCATTGTTCCGCGATGATCGGATCACTCCGCATATCAGGATACCCGGTGTGTACAAACATTATCCGAAATTTCACGATGACCACAGACTAAAACTGCCCTGGTATTAATATAGAGAAAATATCATATTATTACTACGAAGTTACAACCTTTCCATTAAATATTTACAAGTAGAAAAGTAGTGACACTCTCTACGTAAATTCCAAATTTCTCGGATCGGTTCCTGCATGCAAATGTGTACGTGCTACATAATTGAAGTACATGTCGAGTTGTATGTTACACGTATGGGACAATCACTTATAGAATCATGCATTTCAATTTAAATCGTGTTGTAATGACCAACATATACCTATACCTTCTTAGTAATTCTGTTATAAAATGGATTAAACGACTGCTTTATTATACAAAAATGTTGTATAAAATTGTATAATTCCCAACATTTTGAATAATTATAAGAATAAGCGAGACAAATGTTATTTTAGACTGATCCGACATTAGGTAGCAGAGTACAGTAGAAATTGCTTGATCCTAAAAATAAAGGGCATGTCTCAGATAACTTGGCACTTTGAACACCATGGTTACCACATCAAAAAAAGCCAAAAAACATGATTTTTAACCCAAAATTTGACCCACGCAAGTAGTTTTTTTTTCTTAAAAACTGTCTTAAATTGAATATCAGCTACAAGGTAACAGAAATACTCACGTTTTAGCATAGGTCGTTCAACTGGATTTTTCACAATATTTACACATGTGCTGAGTACAAAAACAGACTACATGCAAAGCTAGCTTTTCCTCTGGAGACACAGATTTGTAAAGGGCCAAAAATGTAGTCTCAAACCAAATTAGATATTCTTTTTTAAATGTGTAGCCCACATAATCCACTTGGATGTATATGCCGATTTTGGTGCTGCTTTTTTTTAAAACTTTGATACATGTAATATTACATGGGTTATTCATTGTACAAAAATATCACCCATGGCCACCGTACGCTACTGTGCACTGCTACCATAGTTATACATCACTTTCTTTTCCCCAAAATTTAATATAAACCTTTTAAATGTCTGGAAATGACACAATGAACAAAACGATGTATCCGTTTCCTTTCTCACTTTAATAGTGACCGAGTAATATGAATTCTCCTGACAAGTGAATTTTTACCAATTCTGCTCTTAAACTACCAACGAAGGGAGGTAATCTGAAAAATGAAAACTTGAATAGGTTTGTTGTTTTCATGAATAAAATTTCTTTTTGGGTGACATATAATGCTTTGCGATCATGTGCACGTGAAAAACAGAACAGTACAGGGATACTATGATGTGTCTGTCGTGTTTGATGACGTCATAGTAACTGTGATGTCATCATAACTATGACGTCATCAATGGGCCTCTATGACATCATCAAGGCTCAATTATATCAAAATGAACATTAGGAAACCCATCACAACAACAAACTAGCAAAAAACACACTTCCCGTAACTGATGAACAGCACCAAAATGTCAGATATTCTGAAAAATCAGACAAGTGCCACCATAGTAACCGTTATTTACTTTCCTTGCCTAGAATTAACAGTCACCCTCAGAATTTGTTCATTTAACATGTAAAATTACAGCCAAGTTTTAAAAAAAAAGAACAGTTCTGAAAGAACACATTATCTGTAAGTTGGAATAGGTCATTTAATACATGTACATTAAATAGAACACTTTTATAAGTTTATATTTATATTTTTATATTGTTTTGACATGAATTCCACTATCTTGTCTCCACATATATATCCCTTGTCATCATTAAAATTGTGATACAGAAATATATTTTTGATTTATGTGACATGATCTCAGTTTAATCGGATAACATCACAGCAAGTCAATTTACAGTTCGGAGTTCCTACACTAAAATAGGATATGGTTGAATTATAATGAATTCATTGAATTAAATGTCAATCATTAGCAAGTATGTGTTTATCATTTACATATTTTAGTTGAATTTATTCACAATTCAGACTCCACATAGTGCATTTTCCCTTTATGTATATCGAGTTAAAAAAAATGTGACATAAACTTCTGTCCCAGCACTATAAATAGTGTTCCTGTTGACAGTACCGCTAGCTCTGTTGTACTACAGGTACCAAGCCCACTGTTAAAGCTACAATGTTCTGCGTCATCTAAATCATCAATATATTCCTAAAAAATTGATGATCTTCATCAACTTCTTGGAGGAATTGCTTAAGCTTTTTGTGTCTTTACTCCTGAGAACTCTTCTTTGGTGACTTTTTATTTTTGTGTTTTTCAAGACATTTTCTTGAACTGATTGAGACATGTCCACTGTGTTGGAAAGATAGCAATTATTAAAGAAGCTATATCCAGTTCGAATCAACCCTGAGCTTAAAACACAGTATTTAGACTTGTACACAGATTAAAGTGTGCGGTTCATAATTGATTACTTTTAAGGTTCGCTAGTATATGTTATTATCTTTCAAAATTGATGTGTTGTCAGTTTTTGTTACTTAATTACACAATATATGTATAGGTATATATAGTATCATTACAATTCATGTGAGAAAGTTTGGTCATGTTTCATATAAATCACACTTAGATAGAACCAAGAGCCTGCAACATACACTTTTACTGTTGGTTAAACAAAATAAAGAGATTCACTTTAACTAATTATGATTTCATTTGTGTTAGGTAAATAATATTATTGAAAATATATCATAACAAACATGTATACATGTACAAGCACATGTGAAGTTTTCACAGAATATGAGATTTTATTGTCCATTGCGCATTGTCTAATAATAAAGTCCATATGCTTTATTAGTCCCCCATCAGTTCCCGGGGTGAAGGGGGGGGGGGTTGTACTCTGTCCATACTTCAATCCGACCTTCCATCTTTCCGTCCCTCCGTCCGATAAGTTTGTCCGGGACATATCTTCTAAACTATTTCACCCTGGAATAACCAGATTTGGTGTGCAAGAACATCTGGGAATGGCGGGTTAAGAGTGCAAGAAGAAGGTCACTGTAAACTCACCCTAGAGTAACCAGATTTGGTGTACAATGATGGAGTGCAGAGTGCAAAAATTAGGTCACTGTAACCTATGACTTGACCTTTTACTTTAACTTTTGAAAAAGTTTGTCCGGTGTACTATTCACCTCGAGTATCCAGATTTGGTGTACAACGCCATCTTGGGATGGCGGTGTGCAGAGTAAAATAATTAGCTCACTGTAACCTATGACTTGACCTTTACTTTTTAAATTGTTTGTCCGGGGCATATCTTCTAAACTATTTCACCTCGTGTATCAAAATTTTGTGTACAAGGACATTTCAGGATGGCGTAGTGCAGAGTGCAATAATTAGATCAATGTGACTTGACCTTTGACCTTTACTTTTGCAAAAGTTTGTCCATGCATATTTTCTATACTTTTTTTACCTGGAGTAACCAGAGTAGGTGTACAAGGACATCTTGGAATGGTGGAGTGCAAGAAGTATGTATTTTCAGGATATTTTCCTAACAGAAGGTTTATATCCAGACATCTGTTCAATATAGAAATCATTACCGGTGGGGACTATGGATATCCTTGCAATACTTGTCCTTGTTTGTTTTATAATCTATATGCAATGAACAGGGCTAAGAGGAACCTATTTATAAGTCAAATAACAATTTCCATGAGCTTTGGAGGCCAAATACATATTAAATTGACATGTTCATTCAACTTAAGCCAAAGATTCTAAAGATGAAATTTTTGAGAGACAAAAATATACTTCCCGAGGATCAACTTAAAGCCCTGCAGTATATTCATGACTTTCTACATTGTACTAATTGTGTGTACACAACCGAATAAAAACTTTCAAATGAAAATATAGCTATTTTGTATTACGTACAGGTGACATAAGTATGAAAAATGTAGATATTGTATGTAACAAGTTAAGCTTGAGTGGTGATACACAAATTATATTCTAATTCAATGTTAACTCTGATAAAGATGAACTGGTTATTTGATTTAAAAATTAGTTCTTCTGGTGTTGAATTGTGTATTAAATTTGTAAGGTTTTGAAGCAATTTGGACCACCTTTTCTTCTTTGGCATGCTGAAATTAGGAAATATCCCAATGAATTTTGGTCAATATTCAGAGCCGTAAAAATACACTTTCCAGATCACCAATGCGACTGAAATCTTTCTGGGTACATGTTAATATACCAGATTGAAAGTATGTAAACAAAATATTACAAACTTATCATTGATTACCAAGAATTACGGGTATTCATGAACCCAACTGCGATCCGTGAGCTAAGGCTTATTAACAACAAACCGATACGCGATCAACAACCGTTTTCAGAAGACAAATACTACATTTTCAGAGCTAAGGATTCACTTAAAAACCACATTACTGGAACTAACACATCAAAAGGCATTTGCGTTTTGTGCGTATGTCTAATAATATATTTGTTAGCAAGAAACTATCGAAACAACGGAGTGTAAATGCAACACAGTAAGAGGAGTGAAATCACACGGTTTTGCATCATGATGAATTTTGGTCAATAATCAGAGCCGTAAAAATTCACTTTCTAGATCGTCAATACGATTGAAATCTCTCCGTGTACATGATAATATACCAGATTGTAATTATGTAAACAAGTTATTACATAGTTATCATTGATTACCAAGAATTACAGGTTTTCATGAACCCAACAGCGATCGGTGTTCTAAGGCTTAATGGCGGCCATTATTAAAAACACACCGAGCAGGCAATCGTTTTCAGAATACGAAAACTACATTTTCAGAGCTATTTATTCACTTAAAAACGACATAACTTGAATTAACACATATCAAACAGGAATTATATGTTTAGTGAGTATGCTTAATAATATTTTTGTTAGCAAATATTGTCATCTTATCTAATTCCGGGATATGACACGGCTTTATAATTTTTTTATATATCTTCTGGGTAGGTTACTAGGTGTATTGCGGAACTAGTCCCGTTTGTTTTGTATTTGTTTGAGTAGTTTTACGTTCGCTTCACTAGGAGTAATTCGGTTATCCAACAGACGAGTACCACTAGTATATCTAGTACTGTTCCGTGAAAGCGGCTGCATAGTTTGATCGTTCGATCAGTTTATCGGTCGATACGGCCAGGTTTCAGTGTATCGGCCGGTAACCTCGCTCCGTTCGAGAAGCGGCCGTTCTGGCAGCGTTAGGCCCAATCGGTAACACCGGTCCTATCGGTAGGCTCGCGTTCGTACTGAGTTCGTCCTGCGATCGTATGGTGTCTTTTCGCGGTTCGTTCAGCGTGCGTCCTGCGTTCGTACCAAAAATAAGTGGATACTTAGCCGTAATTCTAACTGCAAGTTTAATAGATAATATGATTTTTTTCAACTTTCTTAAATATATTTAAGTTTTTTCCTATATTTTGGCACAGACTTTACTACAGTTTGAATAGAGTCATCACAGTGTACGATACTATCCTGGTGAGCTGTTGTATCGACTTTGGCTAAACGTCATGTTATTCAATTGACATCGTCGTCAAATTTACACAACAAGCTACTGAAAATATATTTCTCTCATAGATTCGCACATCGGCAAGTTCTTTGCAATTGAGTGAAAGGAAATCGTTCAGTAATATAAAACAGAAATCATGCTAATAATGCTGAATGAATAAAACGCTGTTTTAAACAAGTCGAATAAAGTGCATTTTATCAGAAACAATCTCGTCAAATCTTACAAAACGACATATTTAATTAAGGTGAATATACGTAATTTTGGGAGTTTGTTACGTATTGCTTTTTCATACAACAGCACCACGGAAGAAGAAGACGATGCAATGGACACTGGCCCTCCGCCGTAAATATAAGTTTTCACATTTTTTTCAGTAAAATTTGTCCTGTGTGATAAGTTTTAACATTTTCCCTGAATATTTAAGTTGCCACTGATTTTTTCACAGAATTTGCTACAGTTTGCATACAGTCATCACAATGTACGATTATATTCTGGTGAGCTGTTTTATCGACTAAGGCTTTTAATATTACGTTATACAATATTACGATCAAGTCGTATAAACAGTTAATAAAAATGTATTACTTTCACAGCTTCACATATCGTCAAATCTTTTTGCAACAGAGTCAAAGGCGATCGTTAAGTAACCGAATTGTTGAATAAATATCGTACTTTTTTGTACAAGTCGAAAGTCAAGTTTATTACTTAACGACACGTTTAGGCAATGGGAATAGAAGTCAATTGAGGAGTTTGTTACATATTGTTTCCTAACTTGAATATATATATATAAACGGTAGATGCAAATACGGGTTTTTTTATCTAAAGGAGCAGTTGTGGGTTCGTAAGAAGACTGCTATTGAGGCCAGACAAAGAAGTTGGTATAGACGCAGCTCTAATCCTCTTTCATGATGACGACTCATTCACACGAGGTCCACACTTGCACCTCGAGCATTCCATGGCTAAACAGCAGCTTAATAATCTAGGTATGCATATTGATGTTTCAATCATGACCTTTGTGATTCAATGCCTTAAGCCAAAATTGATTAATGCCAATATGTGTTCAGTTCAAATTGGTCTTGCATTCTGATAAGCATGGCTAAAATTGGTGAAATTATTGGTCCTTTTTATCATCATTTTAAGGAAAAGGATTATCAGCAAGCCATAAATAATTATGTTCTTACAAGAATATACCGATGCAAATATGTGTTTCTAATAACCAATCCATGGCTGATTTCGTCTGAGAGTGGTGTGTTATTTTGTCATTTGGTATTGACACTGAGCTTGATTGTTGTCCTATTGATTACACCGCAGTCTGTCCTTCGAGGCAAGTTGATGGCTCGTGGTGTGTGCGATACACCTGTGCGACTACCTGTTCGATGAATGGATAGGTTAATACTAAACCTATAACTAAAACGATTTAGAGTGATCGGGGAGGAATCAGAGATTGAGGAATCAAGCAATTGCAGTTCGAGTAATCCCACGTTAATTTATATAGAATTTATAAGAACACGGTCGGGACTAAGCGAACTTTTCGAGGATCAGGGTGGTATTCGAGTAATGCGAGTGCGATAAAGAGGGGTTACACTGTATGTCTGGTATGTTTACTTAAAACTGTGCTAACCTTAAATGATGATATATTAAATAAGTAATTCACTTAAAAATGTTCTAATTGTGTTTCAGGTATTCAAAATATGGATCATCTACAGTTTAATAACGGCGACGAATTCGAATGTAAATCAGGTGTCAATGTCCTGAAGTGTGGCATTGGAACTGGTTTAACTTCTGGAGTCATTCGTTTTAAACATGCAACGGGACAAGTTAGAATAAGTGACAATAGTTTTGAGCCGATGGGATTCAATAACGGTAAATCAAAACACATTATGAAAGGACAGCTTGTGGTGGAACATACGGTGCAAACGGCACCATTCTTTGCTCAAGGTGATTCAGGCTCTGCGGTGTTTCTTATGGATAAGCGCTCGCCTCTGAAGTGTATTGGAATGGGTATTGGGCATATGACGAAGAGTCCAGATACTCTTGTGACGCCCATCCGTTCAGTTCTGGAAGCGATATCAGAGGGCCAAGATACCACGTACTCATTATTGAATTTTCAGGGCATGCCTGGTGCGCATGCTGGCGTTTCTTAACAGTTTCCGTTTTAGTTAAAACCATTAAGCGACGCAAAGCGCAGTCGGAGTTCGGATTTGTAAACACATTGTCAACTTCCGGTGCTTCCCAATGCTATAAAGCCTTCTAGAGAATTCAGGCTGCATACTATCTACTGAAATAAGATTTTAAACCCCTGAGGCATCCGTATTGATTACATTTTACCTGAGAATGTAGATAATTCTATATTTGATATCAACATATCCTCAATGTAATAACTATTTACGAAATATTACATCTTCACATGTGACGAAATCACTATTAGTATTGTCAAATCAAAACGGTACATTCTATTCACTGCATAGATTTCAAGTTTCAGGTGAAGATGAAACAACGGTAGAAGAAATGATTGTGTCGCTCCACCTTTGCAACTCTCATTATGGTATTTACATAATTACACATTCATTTGATATCATTTTTCGTTGGACATATAACCAGATAATAGCAGCAAATAGCAAAACTGCAAGTTCAAAATTGTGGTCAAGCATGACCTCATTATCACCTGGCGTCAAACGTATACGCTAAAACTTCACGTACTTTTCTGATGTAGCAATGTTTGCGTCGTGTGACGTGAAAAAAAAAAGAAAAAAACAACATTTAATGGTGTTCCCGTTAAATACGATATACAATTATTCCACGCGTACATAACACAAAAACTGTCTTTGAATCAGATTCAAGAGGTTATAACTTCTTTCACAGCTATCCTCTACCAGATATACCATAGTACCTGGCGACTGCTCCACGAAAGTCTCGAACCCGCGACCCAGTAGTGGAGGGCTAGTAGAAGCAGAATGTTAGACGTCTTAACCACTTTGGCACCGCGGCCCGAGATACACTCCGTCCATCCTGCTCGTAATAAATTAGTTTTGAAGTCATTTATGTATTAATATGAAAGTTGGTATGGTCTGAATGATAATAGTATTTAATTTGATCAAAATGATATACTAAACTACACAAACAAGTCCGCCTTTTTATATTTATAAACTAATTTATAAGCCAAAGATAATGTTCAATTGATTTGGGATTGTTATATTTTTCACATTTACAACAGATAAACCGAGAGTTTACTACTGACAATGATGTTGTTTATGTGTGCGTAATAAAGGATTAATGTTCTATGTAGTTTATGTTAACGGTTGATAACATTTTTATATGCATGCATTATTTCAAGACAGCTGACTTTAGTATAGTACCCTGTATATCACGATTAAATACCTCGGTAAATGCATATGCTGCTGTTCAGATATAGTATGGATTAAGATATAATATGAATTAAATTAGTGGTATATAGATAATTTAGCAGTTTGGCTTTGCCCATATTCTGTGAAATCTAAGTGAGTTATTGTAGACGTCGAGTTTTATGTGAAGATTTGTTTGTTTGTTTGATTTTTTTTAACGTCCTATAAACAGCTAACGTCATTTAAGGACGGCCTCCCCTGTGTGCAAGATGTATGTGTGTAGTGTATGTGTGTGTATTTTGGGAGGCTGCGATATGTTCGTGTTTGTCTCCTTGTTTTATGTGAAGAACAATTCGTAACCTGAAGTAATGCTTACGTGTAATAGTTCTTGTTCAAGGATGTGTAAGGTATGGTAAATAATCTTGTGAAACTCTGGTCAGTTACTTAACTGTGCCATTGTTATATGACGAATCAGTAAAATAACGTCTTGGGTAACATTTGGACGTTATGTACACATGTAATGTTATTTAAACCTGACAACAACTATACAATCTAAGTAAAGGTATCTGCTTTAACTGGGGTTAATACATTTTGTTTTATTCATTTTATCGTAATATATAGTAGTACAGTTACATGTGTACATAAACAAAAACATGCATACAGAAAGACAGACAGATAGACAGATAGACAGACATGCATACCTACGCACAAATGCATGTATGCCTGCACGTAGGCACATATGTACATACATATAAACATGCACACATGTATATTTGTAAGTTATCACTTAATCATCTATATGAACATTGTATATATTAATGTGTATAAATGGCTACACATGCATATAAAATGACAACATTATTTAATTAGTGTAATTCATAAGGGTATATGGGTGATTCACTTGGCTTTGGTTTTCAAATATTATTATTTTTGGACTTAAGTAAATAGGATTTTCCATTCATTCCAAGTTTTGTTGAATTTTTTGTTTGGCATATTTTTTGATATTTCGTATATTTATGTTTGAGTTAGGTATTCATTCAATCCTATTATTACGAGATTTCCTGGGTTTTTTGGGGGTTTTTTTGCATTACAGAATATGTAGTATTTATTGCATGTAATGATGATGTTAGTTGGTTTTGTTTCATTAGTATCTCATGTGACCCCAAATAGAATTGTACTTATAGTAAGGTCAATATTTTTCTAACTTTATTATGAATCCATCTTCTAAGATTTTCCAATACACATGTGTTGATGCAATTCCAAGATAATCTATTTGTTCAGGGTGTGCTCTACAGAGTCAACAAGTATCAGAGTCTTTAATACCAATTTTTTATGAATTATGTATGAATTATGAATTAGTGGTAAAACTCCGGTTCCGGATTTCATATTGGAACCATTAGATTTTTGTTTCTTTTGTGGTTTGGATATATAATTGATATACTTTGTTAAACCTAATTGCACTAAATCTATCATCTGATTTCCATTTTTGTTCTGCTGTATTTTGACATATATTTTGATTATTCATTAGTGTGATGTACATATCTTTACTTCCCCTAATGGATATTAATGTTATTTGTAGGTGAAATGGAATGAAGGGTCTGGGGTGGTTGTTCTTTGATTTTGTTAAATCTATATTCAGTGTCTGTGCAGCTTCTTTTATTGATTCACAGATTCTGTTATACTGGAGAAAGTGTATAGTGTTTTTCTGTTTGAATTCTTCAAATGAGAGAAAAGTGTTATCATTTTGCAGAATGTCATTTACAAATTGTACACCTTTGACATGCATGTCTTTATAGAAAAAAGATGAATTATTTATCAAAATATTTGGGTTATACGATACAGTTGATTCTTGAAAAATCTGTAAGTGTTTTGGGAGGATTGTTTCTGTGATGGTTACCCCAGCTTCAAGAACATCTTTCCAAAATTTATTGGTTGATTTAATAAGTTTTAGGTGGTCTACATTGTATTGTGATATATTATGTGTGCAAGTTATTTCTGATTTAAACAAATTAATGCATTATTTTGTTTTTGCTGTGAAAAGCCGTTTAATCCAAGTTGATTTGAGGTTAGTAATAAATTTATCTAAGTTAATCATTTTTTATCCTCCGTCTTTATAATCTTTCACTAGAGTTTGTCTTTTATTTTTTTCTGTGTTTGACTGCCATATGAATTTAAAAAATGAAGTGTTTAAGTACTGAATTGTGTTTTTGCTCGGGTTAGGTATTGCAACGAACAGATGTGTTATTTTGGGTATTATGAGATATTTTAGGAACTACTATTCTTCCAATAAGAGCGATATTTCTTCTATACCATTGTTTTAAAATTAATTCTATCTCATTTGTTTTGTTTTTGTAGTTAAGGTCTGTAATTTTGTCTAGTAAACAGAAAAGTGTATTCTCAATAGATTGAAAGTTGAAACATTCCATTGTAGTTTCCATCGATGAAGATAAACATCGGCACTAAATTTCTTTGAGCCTATCCATAAAACTTGGGTTTTGTTGTGTTTACTTTCAGACCTGATATTAAAGCATACTGAAGTTCCCAAAGCCTCAGTGAATGCTTTCTCAGAACCATCTAGAATAAAACTGTCACTGGCGAACTGTGAGAGATTGTGTTCTTTGTTATTTAAATTTATACCTTTTATGTTTTTATTATGTTTTTACCAGAATAGCCAAGATTTCAGCCACAAGTAAGAAAAGATAAGATGAAACCGGGTCCCCTTGACGACAGCCTCTTTTGATAGGAATACAGTTTTATAGGAAGCCATTTTGTATTACTGCAGATGAGGTTTGATTATTAAAAATTTTGATCCAATTTATAATGTTGTCTTCAAGTTAAAAAATCTGAGTACTTCATATATGAAATGCCATGAAACAGTCAAAGGCTTTCTCGAAATCAACCAGGATCAAAATATTGTTTTCCTCTGTAAAATGCATTAAGTAATTACCTTATCAAATGCCCCTGAGATGTTACGAAAAATTAACATGCATGTTTTTTTTCTTAAGTGAATAGCAAATAGTATGGTACATTTCAATGAGTTGATGAACGATGGAATGATTTGGCATACAACCTGTTTGGTAAGTGTAAACAAGCGAGTTATCTACAAAGTAGTTATGAAAATATTTAAAAACAACTATGTCAAATATCTTTCTGACATACGATAATAACGAATTTGAAACTAACAGTCGATTACATTTCTTAACAAGAGGCCCATGGGCCTTAACGGTCACCTGATATATTTATACAGAGAGTTGATTTTGTTTTTAACATGAACAGAAATATTATTCAAAGTGACAAAAAACAATAAAACCACCTTATTCAATATCTAGAAAACAGATTTAAGACTAAAAAGTATTTGAAACTAGCACCTCTGATTCTAAAAAAGGAAAATGAAGGAATTTTAGCACACTGACTCCTTTGGGACCCATCAGCCCCGGGGGTAGGGCTGGCTCAAAATTTTCAAAGTATCAAACTGTCAACTCAAAGTTATAATTCAAATCAAATTATTAACATGTAATATTCAAAGTATCATTTGCCATAATAAACCATAATAAATTTTGCCCCCCACCCTTACTTCCCCAGGGTGTAAACGTGAGACCCTAGGGTCATAAACCTTAAGACTAGACCCTTCCAATTATGGAGAGTGTTTGATTCTACCATATCTTGGTCTTGAAAAGAAGATTTTTGAAATTTGACCCTTTTTGGCCAAACCCATCAGCCCCGGGGGGTGGATGTCAGTCAGAGCTGATATGTGCATACTATCAAACTGCTACCTAATACTGATAATGCTTACCTAAATTGAATTACTTCCAATGGAAATTAAACAAATGTTGGTCCAAAATGTGATTTCCCTATATAAACTATAGTAAAGTTTACCCCCGCCCCGGGGGAAAACGTGAGACCCCAGGGTCAAGAAATTCACAATTTGTGTAAAGCACCTTCAGACCCTTCCATCTATGAAGAGTATTTGATTCTACCATATCTAGGTCTTTAGAAGAAGATTTTTGTATTTTTAGTCAATTTGACCCTGTTTGGCCCCGCCTCTCAGGCCCCTGGGGGCTTGGGACTAAACCGGCAACAATTTTTGTTAACCTTTGTCCATGGAAGGTTCCAGCAAAATTTCATTGAAATTGGTTCAGTGGTTTTGGAGCGGAAGTCGAAAATGTAAATTGTTTACGGACGCACGACGGACAAAAGGCGATCGCAATAGGTCACTTGAGACTTAGTCTCAGGTGACCTAAACAAGAGGCCCAAGAGGGCCTGTATCGCTCACCTGAATATTTAAGCAGTCATAGCAAAATATTCTCATTAAATACTAAATTGCACTATAAATATTTCCCTCGCAAACTTTGTTGGCTCCATCTGTTGAAACTACCAGCAAAATATTATTATAAGATTCTATGCTTTTTGATTCTTCTTCAGAAGTTGCTTGACATATTTTCCCCTGTGATCTTGTAAGTAGGTCAATGTCATTTTCCTTCTCAAATTGGGCAGCTCTATTCCAAAGGGCAACCAGCAAAATCTTATGAATCCATTTCTTTTAGTTCTCAAGAACAAATCCATTAAAATGTTGTTGGCCTCTGTGACCACTAAAGTAGGTTGAGGTCATTTTCATTCGTAAACTATGTTTGGCTCTGTCCCAGGAAGCCACCTGCCAAATATTAAGATTTTATACGGTTTCGTGTTTAAACATATAAACTTGATGTTTACGTATGTTTCTATATTCTAGCAACATCTATACACTTATCTTTCTGTCTTTACATTCTTATATTTAGAAATTGTGTTTTCTGTGTTTTTAAACAAACTTAATCGACACATGTAAAATTACAACACAATCCCGTACACAGGTAAACATAATCACTTTGTACATGTAGTTTTCTCCCCGCCTGGGGCACTTACGTAACTCGTCGGGTAAGGCCAGGGGTGTGAAAATCCAGGTGAAGGGGAGCCATAGGCAAACGAATGCAAATACTATTCATTACGGTCAAACGGTATCGCATATCAGCTCTGTGTGTCAGGCACTGGTCAGGTAAAACTCCGGACACTCATCAAATTGTTATTTACCTGTTCTGTTACCTTGGAGCCAAACCCATTCTTGACAGCCTAACGGTCGCTGTAATACTGTGTAACACGCATTGTGAAATTGTATAATCAGGTATAATTGTATATTGCAGGTTTCAAAATTATACAAATGATGGGGCTGACCCCCCCCCCCCCCCGGGCTAAGGGGTGGGGCCAAAAAAGTGTATTACTTGGAAATGATT